AAAAGCCCCTCCCTCACTAATACAATAGCTAGCCAAGAATCACTAGGTAGAGGCCATAGCGGGTGGCAATTTTCACCAATCTTTGTCCTTCATGTTTTGCCCTAGGTTCATTGCTCTGGTACTGGCAATCTTCTCAACATGGGAACTAGGTGCCCACCAGTTCCAGTCCATGCCCATCTCTGATTCCTTAGGAACAATTGCAATTTTGTCTCTAATATAAAGGGTCCTACAGAAGGGGAAGGGATAGAAAATGATGCCAACAGATAGAGAATAGAAAGTTTTATGCCCATCAAGAAAACAATATAATAAACAATCATACCACAATTATGATTGAGAAGCTAATATAAAAGCTTCAATGGTAAATTTGCAATAGGGATACTCATTAGATAGTTTACATTTCACTTTCACTGAGTACGTACAGATCAACACCAAATGGGTTATTTTCCTTCTGGTGTTTTCTTCTCTATGGATGACTCATTCCCTCCCAGCAGATATGCCAGTGTTTCTCCTGTTGCCCTGTATAGCCAAGACTAGTAAATAATACTCAACTTATCATGTGTGTGTGTGTGTGTGTGTGTGTGTGTGTGTGTGGCGCGAGAGTGAGGGGGTAATGCCAATTGCCTTTCATGATTCTATAAGGCTCTGTGTTAGAAGACACAAATAGGAGCTAGCCCTCTCCCAGACAAGAAGTCCACGGACTCCTGAGCCAGTCCAGTGGGCATATTCACTAACTTTCTGCAGTTCAGAGAAACATCCTTACAATTTGAGGGCAGTAAGGAGGACTGCTTACAGAGCAGGGTTTGCCCCTTTAAAATTGCCCCTGTAGTTCTGGAGCAGGTGACAAATAAAGGACTTCTCATAGCCCACAGGAATCTGTCAAAGAATACTTGTGCCAGATTGAAGCATGTTGGTGTCAGGGGAAGGGAAGAACCTCTGCATCAATCATCCTTAAGGGGGTACTACACATTCATTTTAGGTTCCACTTTGTCAGCTCCTGCTTTGCATTCCACATCCCGCAGAGAATCAGGGGAACTAGCATGGAGTGCTACCTGCTTCTCTTATAATGAGGTAAAGGGGAAGGTCCATCTTCCCCTATAATATACTTGTTGCAAAAATTAAACCATGTATGTCTAAGTACACACCACAGACACAGTCTTCAAAAATTAACCTGTCCATTGCTAATGATGGCAAGGTTTTAAAAACCTTTTCCTTTGTTATTTCACTGTTTACTTGCAATCATTTACATGCTCACTTTTCTTTGGATTGCTTTGCTATTGCCTATACTATTACAACCTTCTAAGTCGAAAAGGTCATTTAGCCCAAATACCTATTTTCAGGCAGAACTGCATTTAAACTATCCAAAGCAAATGAAATATCTCTAGAGGAGGATATTACTTTGGTTATGCATTCCAGTGTCTCATGAAGCAATTTCAAACTTGGAAGGAAGAAAGTGAAATACTTAACTATTTAGTGCATGGTTTATGCCTTAAGCAATATTTAGAGGTGGAAGAGATTCTTATAAACTCCTTTCACTTAAATAAAAATATAAATGGAACAAGAGTTAAGAAATTTAGCATATAAACCCTACTACTTTTAAAGGAAAAATAAAAAGGAGATAATGGAGTCTCATTCAACAGAGCAATTGGTATTTTATGAGATGAAACCCAGTATATGCAATTGACACATTAGTCAGTCTACTTTCATCCACTGATGAAGCTAGACTATTAGCTGTGTTCAAAAATTTCTGAAACACAATGAGCCTTGATGTGCACTTATAGAAGATGTCTATTAGTTCATAAGAAGATGTCTCAAATCAGTGCTGTTTCTTTAGTCCTAATCTTAAGTATCAAAAGCTATCACCAGGTTTCTCAGTTGCAAACTTTTAGTACTGTTCTAGATTTGCAAGTTCCCACGAAAAGCAAAAAAAAATAAAAAAATTTAAGATTCCCAGTAGACGCTTGCAGTCTGACAGTACTTGGAATAAAATTAGAATGTTTCATAGCCATTAACTTATTCAGGAGGGCAGTCCCTCGTGTCTTACTCCCACTCTTCATTAAACCTTTTTCCTTGAGGGATAGATGTGTTTCTTTTCATAAGGCATCTAATTGAGATTTAGCAGTAGGCAAATGTGAAGAATGCTAGAAAGGGACTCAGATTATAATTCATCAGGGCAATGACCAGACATCAATTTCAATTTTGCAACATCTTTCAGATTTGGCCTCTTCAGTCCTCTGATACTTCCACTACCATGAGATGCAGGCCCTCTCCCCTCCCATACCTGTATTATGCCAATAGTCTACTGGCTGTTCTGCCTGTCACAAATATCTCTCTAATTCAATCCCTCATTTATTCAGCTGCCAAAGTGATTTTTCCAAAGTGTAGGTCTGACCGTGTCACTCCTACTCATCAATAAACTCCACAGGACTCCCTATCACCTCCAGGATCAAATACAAAATCCTCTATTTGGCATTCAAAGCCCTTCATAACCTAGCCTTCCCCTTTCTTTTCAGTCTTTTTATACCTTACACCCTCCCCTTACTCTTCAATCCTTCAACACTGGCCAACTTGCTGCTCCTCTGATATGGGAAATTTCACTGGTAATCTCCAATGCCTGTAATTCTGTCCCTCCTAGCTTCTGTAGATTCTTTCAAGTCCCATCTAAAACCCCACCTTCTACAGGAAGCCTTTTCTGGTCCCTCTTAATTCTCATTCCTCCCTTCTGTTTATTATTTCCTATTTTTCCTGTATATAGCTTGTTTGTACGGAATTGTTTGCATATTGTCTTCCCCATTAAATTGTGAGCTTTTATAAGGCAAGGCCAACTGTTTTAGCTTTTTTTTTTTGTATCTCCAAAGCTTAGCATAGTGTCTGGCACATAGAAGGTAGGTGCTTAATAAATACTTAGCAGAGTGACTAGTAGGTGGGGAAGATTACTAGGAAGCAAACTATAGGAAAATTGGAATACAGAATGATAGGAACCCAGAAAAAGAATTCCAAATAGAATATAAGAACATATTCCACTTCTGGAAGGCATGGACTATTTTTCCTCTCGACCCCCAACACCCAGAACAGTGCCTTGTACGTAGTCAATACTTAATAAATGCTAGTTGAATAAGAATGAATAAAACCCTAATTTCTAGCTTTAATGAAGAAGCTTATTTATTGCTTTATAGAAAATTATTTTTTAAACTTAAACTGATGTGGGAATGCCTAAATGCACACACACACACACTTTTTTTTTACTAGCTTTTTCGTAGTTTCCATTAGACTGTGAGCTCCCTGAGAACAGGAATTGTTTTCCCCTTCCTTTGTAGCCCCAGAATTTAGGGTAGTGCCTGGAACATAGTAGGTATTTGACATGTTGATTTCCTTGAAGTCTTCATCTTAAATAACATTATTTGTAGTCCAGAAGCATTACAAATTTTCATTGTGAACTCTGAGCTATTCAGGAATTGTGAAATGCTTGCCTAAACAGGGCTATAAACTAAGGTGAATAGAAATGTCAGCAAAGCTTTTGATTCAGTGCCTTTAAATTATTAATTTGTGCTATCTCAACTCTATTGCTGGCCTGGGTTCTCTCATGCTTTCTAGGATAATTGGAGCAGAAGCATATGACATACAGGCGCGTATGCGCACACACGTGAATTAATTCTATGGACTATATATCCTATGCATAGATTAGATTCAATATCATATGTGACACCCAATTTACATGCACACACACACACACACACAATACAATACATATACATGCACATACATCCATAAACATTGTTATGGGAAAAATATCTCCTCTCTGAGTTCATATTGTGGGTAACTGCTACCAAATATATATTTACCACAACATGGAAATTATGGAGGTAAAAATCTAAGCTTTATTATAATGCCCAAGCATAGGTTCAGGCCTCAGAGAAAACCTGAGCTCTGATTAGGACTTTCACAAGTCCCCTTATAGGCAAAACCATGTCAGAGTGAAAGAGAAATAATTCATTTATATCTTGCAATCTTGTACATTCCTCTTAACTCATACAAGTTAAATAAGCTCCATAATCCCACACTTCCTGCCATGTCATAAAATCTGAACAAACTTAAATCTTATACATCCCTTAAGGAAACAAACTTCATAGGTAAACTAAATCAGTTTACAGATTAAACTACATTTAGAAGGGTCACAAATTCAGGGACAAGTGAGATTCTTCCTCTAGCTTCTTATCAAAGGAATGTTTAAGGCTGTAAGTAAATTTTTATACCACATGATGCAGGTTTTGGTCAGGTAAGGTTAATATCAACCAAAAGTTGCTGGAGGAATAAAAGGAAATAAAAAAATTCCGTAACTATATATATATATATATATATATATATATATATATTATATATATATATATATATATATATATATATATATATATATATATATATATATATATTTTTTTTTCTTTTACAATAGGGCCTTGAGATGTTATAGAAAATTGACATGCAATGATTGCTCAGGGGCTGTTGTGAGAATAATTTTAATACCTGAATAAGACAGTAGGAATAAATTTGTCATTATAGTATAACTGATAATGTGGTGAGACTAAGTTCTGTTATCTTATCAATATGGTATAACTGATTTATACTACTACTTATACATCAATATATAACTGGTTTATATTTAAACTATACCTTATCAGTACAACATAATTATTGATAACATAGTGATAATAAGTTTTATTACTATCAGGCAGTCTTTCCATTTAGCATAAATGATTCCTTTTTGTTTTAGACCTGCATTTTGTGATTGGACCATTTTGAGTACATTGTTTTTCAATAAGATAACTACCTGTGTGGTGTGATATAGTAAACAATATGTACATAATCTTAAAAACACTAATAAGCATATGCAGGCCTTCCGATCAGATTATCAATGAAAAAATATCATGAACAACTTTATCATTAATTCTGACTTGAACCACAAATCAAGCAACAAACCACTTCAGCTAAAAGTAGAAAATACTCACCAGAGACGCTAACCACCAGCAGCCTGTTCTTAAGTCTAGCTTAGATCTCGCTCTTGCCTTCCAGGTATGGTGATCTTGCTCAAGTCCTCATTGGCTTGAGGGTCATGCTGATTGGTTGAAGGAGGGAGATCTATGGCCTCCAGCTGAGTAGAGAGGGAACTTTGTGGAGTTAGTAAGAAAAAAGCCAATCAGAATGGCTAAAACTCAAGGAAATGATGGTCTCTTTTCAGAGGGTGTTGTTTGAATGCTTTGATTAATCAAGTTTGATTGCAGTGCATGAAGAAGTATAAGTCTGGTAAGTATTTAGGTCTCATAAGTTAGCATATGTAATGGTAAATCAACTAGGTATTTAAGGTGACCTACTATATAATGACTCCATTGTTTTGGGATATTTTCTTCACAAATAAAGAGTTGGAAGGAAGAAGTGAAGAAGGTAAATAGGCTTGTTTATTGGAAAGGCAACCCTGGAAGCCTTTATTTACTTTATTAAGAAATGTGCTTTTATTACCAAAGGAAAATCTGGTTATCTGGTTTGTCTCTTTGTAATTCAGGCCTGGGACATGTATACATGTACCATCTCAAGGGCATTGGACTGAGGTGGTGTGGTTTGGGGAAAAAAAAGAAGTCCTTGATATCCTTGTCAATTCTAGTCCTTTCTTCCTGTAAGAAGGAAGGTTCTGAGCAACCCAAGGGGCAGGAACACCCTGATTAACAGAGAACCTAAACTCAAGCACAGCAGTTATAAGTTAAGTTAAAAACAAGAAATATAATCCTCGTATCTGTGCTAGTTGATTATTGTATAGCCTCTTCATTTGACAGATAATTCACCTGATAGATGTAAGACACGAACAATAATAGCTAACATTTATATAGTACTTACTATGTGTCAGGCATTATTGTAAGCACTTTGCAATTATTATGATCCTTCACAAAAACCCTGAAGGTGAGGTAGGTGGTATTACTATTCCTATTTTACAGATGAAGAAACTGAAGTAAACAGAGTTTAAGTGACTTGCCCAAAGTCACAGTGCTAGTAAATATCTGAGGATGGATTTGAACTCAGGTCTTCCTGAGTCCAAGTCTAACCCTCTATCCACTGTTCTACCTTGCTGCATGTATATGTGTGTGTGTATATATATATATATATATATATATATATATATATATGTGTGTATGTGTGTGTGTGTGTGTGTACCCACACCCACACATAGCATATATGAAGTTAGTATAATTTGTCCTATATTGTTTTAAATTCTCAACCCTGGAAACAGGCAGAAGTTTGCATTCAAATGAACTCTGAGATTGTCAGCAAAAGCCTCTACAGTTAATCTACTCATCTATTAGCAATAGAGTATTCCATCTTCTCTCAAAAAGCTTTCTCTCTTCAAAAATCCAGATCCACCCATTCTAACCTATTGTAATTGTTTTGCTCAAAAGATGTCAAAAGCACAAGTTATATCATTTCCTTTGTCTTTTTCAGCTAAAATTTCTCTTGCTTAAGACAATCATCTTAGGGAATAATTAATAATAGATTTCCATCTGTGGGAGAAAATCATTGGAGGGGGTGACTGGAGGGTGGTCCCTTCCCTCCACCCTTTGTAAATCTTAGTATCTTCCCTCTCTATTATTTCCTATTTATCCTGTATATATAGTAGCTTGTTTGTACATATGTGCTTATCTCACCCATTAGAGTGTGAGCTCCCTGAGGGCAGGGACTATCTTTTGCCTTTATTTGTTTCCCCATTGCTTAGCACAGTCCCTGGCACATAGTAGATACTTAATAGATTTTTATTAACTGATTGTATGCATATGATATCTACAGATAAAAAAATATATAAATTATGTACTTATTGACTGAATGTTTGAATGCATGTACATATAGCTACAGATATCTAGATGGAGATAACTATAGATATACAGATATATAAATGACATTTGCAGGCCATAATGAATTATCTGAGAGGCAGCATAGTCTCTGTACACAGATCTGCACTTTTATGTTAGAACTGCTTTTTTCCTCTTCCTCACCCCTGTGGAGTGAGGCAACTTCCAGACATGCCCCTTCCCTCTCTCAAGCACCACATTCAAACTGTTAGGACTCAGCACAGTAGGCTGAGCTGAGCACATGAAGCCAAAGATTCCTATAGGTCTGGAAGAGCATGCCCTAACTGGAAGTGCTCAGGGGCCCATTCTTCAGCAGCTGTGTTTCCACACATTTGAGACCAAGGACCAGCTGATCTCATTCCAAAATCATTCAACAAATTTGGTTTTGGAAAAATAGCTTTTACTTGTGGTTTTTCTTTCATTTTCTGGATTGGTTGCTGATTTACCACAATAAAGGTCACTCTTTTAGAAAGCATTTGTTGCTGAATAGGGAAGAGGGAAGGACAAAAGAGATTTGTCAGTTCTATAATCCTTAATCCACCCCCCAAAAAAACAAAACAAAATATTGCCTTACAGGATTGATGTGTTGTGAGAAAAATGCCTTATGAATCTTACTCTGCTGTACATATGTGGAATTATTATTATTATTACATCCAAGTGATTTCACTGACGTACTCCCCGTGTGCTAACACTCTTCTCCACGTAGATTGCAGTCAGTCTATAATTTATATTCTTAGAGAGTATCATTAGCCTTAGTGAAATTAAGCCATTGGTCAAGCAGCTTGTAAATTTCAGAGGCAACTTTTAAATTGAAATCTTCTTGACTTTAAGTATAGTATTCAAACCACTATGGCAGACTACCCTTTTCAGATTATTATTGTTATTATTGCTTCTTGAATTATGCATTTTATTCAGCATGTTATTTGTAGAATCATAAAATGCCATAACTGACTGGGGATAACACCAAGTTCAATTTTTTTTTTAAATCAACTGATGAGTAACTGGAGTTTCATGGCAGCTAAATTACTTAACCCAGGTTATACAAATAGTTATTGATAAAACTAGTCAAAGCCATCATCAGAATTTCTTTGTGCAATCCCCAACTCCTGCCCCCATGTCAGGGGCCTTAAAGGTACATATTGATACTCTCTCAAATACCTTAAACTCATAATTCTACATATTATCTAATTATAATGACCTTTTCTTCCACTCCACCTTAATTATAAGCAGAAATGGTCAAACCCTTGATTTTGTTATCACCCACACCTGTTACATGCTTGTTCCTAAATTGTGAATATTTTTTAATCTTTTCTTAGTTTTTCATTATTCCATTTTTTCCTATGCCTTAGGGCACCAAGCACACTCTTTAAATTCACCATGACCCTCAATTCCCTCTTTGCCTCAGTTTCTGTCCTCTACAACCCCGCCCCCCCCACTCTTTACCTTCTCTCAGATACTCTCTTCTCTTTAGGTTTCCTGACTCCATTCTCTCCTGGTCCTCCTCCTACCTGATTCTTCTATGGCATGCCCACTAACCCCAAGGGTCATTCTTTGACCTTCTTCTCTTTTCCTACATTTTCCTTTTCAGAGATCTCCTCAGCTTTCAGGATTTGGTTATTTTGATGCAGCTTATTTCCAGGTCTATATTCCTTTGTAAGGCTCTCATCCCCTCTCACTTGGATTATTTCAATAGCTTTTAAATTGGTCTCTCTGTCTCAGGCTCTCACCCCTATCCTATCCATCCTACACACATCTGCTGAAATGATTATGAGTGTTTAATAAATTCTTATTATGTGACTTGATTGACTGATCCTATAATCCCAGGTGTTTCCTCCCAGGTGTCAGGCCTCGGGGGCAAAATTTTGATCACCTGACTTAAATTACCACTCTACAGCCAAGACCAAAACCCAATTCTGACTCCTAAGCCACTTCTATTTCTACTACTTCTCCTATTCTGCCCTTATTCTCAAATAAAAATCTTTTTTTTTCCCAGTTCCATATATGGAACATAAACTTGCAGTCACTCACTTTTCCATCATACTGAAGCAATAATAAGATTATTTTTAAAACTACCTATAGGATCTTGGGTAAGTCCAACTCTGTATAGCTTAGTTTCCTCACCTACAAAATGAGGCAGCAGGGCTAAATGGCCTTTAGGTTTTCTTCTAGCTCCAGAAGTTGTGATCATGGTACTGGATTATAAACTCTGCATGACCAGGAATTGTCTCTAGTTTCAGCTTGATGTTTCCAGACTCATTATATTTTCATTTTCTTAAGACAATCATCTGAGGGAGTGGTCTTAGGGAGTGGTCAACAATAACCTTCCAGCTGTGGAAGAAAATCATTTGAGGGAGTGTGTGATCGCTTGGCAACCCAATCTTAGTGTCTTCCCTCCTAATTATTTCCTTAGTTATATTGGAGGAATTACAAAGACTTGTCAGTTGTGAGTCAGCAAACAAGCATCTATTAACTGCCTGCTACATGCCAGGGACTGGGGATATCAAGAAAGGCAAAAAATCAGTCCCTGCTGTCAAGGAGTTTACATTCTAATTGGAGAGACTGCATGCAAACAATGTTACAAACAACTACATACAGGATAACTTGTAGGTAATCAGCAGAGGAAAGGCACTAAAAAAAAAAAGGAGTAAGAAGGGCTTTTTACAGAAGGTGGAATTATTTAGCTGGGACTGGAAGCCAAAGACAAAAAGCATATGGATCAAGAGATGTGGATGGATTGTAACCTGCACCACTGCAAAAATTGCTCAATTTGAGAAAATTAATCATTGTTGAAAGAAAAATCCTCGTTAGAGCTTCACCTTAATAAATCAGGCAAGCTCAGGAAAATGAGGCAAAAGGGAATTTGTTATAACATAAAAGGCATATGATTTGTATGGGCCAAGGTCCCAAAACTAAGCCAAGCTCAGCTTTTAAGGATGAATTTACATAATAAGAGAAGCCACCTTTGATAGGTTCACAGCTCTAAAGGGGATAGGCCAGTGTTATATCAAGGCCAACTTTACAATCCACGTAGGATGCTGCTGATTTCTGAAGGAGATCAAAGCATGTGGCTTGACATGTACTTCAGCTCCCTTTAAGAGAGGGCCATCACATTCACCTGTGTGGCTCCCACTTGTGCTATGAGAGGGCTGTCACATACACTTCTAAAGGGTATCAGAAAAATCATAAGTACACTCAAATTTATTTGGTAGTAGTGGCTTGGTTCTATACGATAATTCAGTATCATTCATGGATATATTGGGATATACTCAGTTCCTGCATCCTATCTTGAATGTCTATAGTAGGTGCTATTGAATTTAATTTACTGCTTTAAATTTAGTTTCATTTCCACAAGAAATACTTAGAATTCAGATATCAATGTTTGTTTAAGTCCTTAGCAGGAAAATCTTTCTCCAGGATCTATGCTGTGGTTCCCACAACCTCTACTGTTGGTAGAACAGACCCATCTAGCCATTCCTTTGGACATTAGGCTTTTATATCAATGCAGGAGGCAGTTGGGTGGCTCAGTGGATAGAGCCCTGGGCCTAGAGTTAAGAAGACATGAGTTCAGAGTTCCACTTCTGGGAGCCAAGATGGTGGAGTGAGAAATAAGTTACTCTCACCGTCCCTTATTAACCCTCTGAAAGCTGGGAAATATCACCCCAGGAAAAACCCTAGGACAGCTGAACTAGCAGAAAGATGGGGGTGCAGCAGCCTGGTAGCCCAGGAAGCATGGAGGATTATTGGGAAAGGTCCCTCTTGCCCTGGGGGAGGAGGAGCAGTACCAGCAAGCTAGTGAAAAGTCCCACCTCAGCATACCAGGGAGAGATCCTGAACCTCAGGTAGTGGGGAAGACAAGCATCAAGACCAAGACGCCCGAGTACCTCAGTATAGGCAGAGGAACCAGTGGAAACCAGCTGGGAAAACCACCATGGGCTATGGCATGCTACAGCAGCCAAGTCTCCCAGTGCCTCAGCAAAACTCTGGAAAGCACAGCTCCAAGGGGGAAAGC